GTCTGTAGTCCCAGCACTTTGGGTGGCTGAGGCAGGAGGATTGCTTGAGGCCAGGAGTTTGAGACCAGCCTGGGCAACACAGTAAGACCTTGTCTCTAAAAACAAGGAAAAAGGGAGAAAAAAAAAAGAGTAGTGGAGATGAAGTGTTAGTTTAGCTGAGTTCTGTAGTTAACTACCAAAGCTAGATATTTACTTTTACCTTTTATATGTGTAATTCGGGTTTCTCTATTCTAATTTATAAAGTTCTAGGTGACTAGAGCTTCCATGATACCATCTGACAGGTTGCTGTTCTGGACTCAGGGTTGTTGAAAGCAGCTGACATACTCTGTTAATGATTCCAAGCCAGAGTCAGGCTGGAGTGAAGAGTTGGCCTGGTGTGTAAGAACTCCATCCCCCCCTTAACTGGCAGGAGGCAGGCAATGATTCAGTAGGTGAGGCTGGTCACCTCCCCCATCCCCTCACCCCCTGCCATAGTTCAAAATAGTAATTATGATGTAATGTTGGTTTAATGTTTAAAAAAATACTCTGATGATTTATGGACTTAAAAGTTATCTAAATGCACCCTGAGGATGATGGTGAAAGGTGCAATTTTGACATCAAAACAAGCGGGTGCATCAAATATTTAATTAGAGGATCAGATGAAGAAAGCAGATGCAAAGTCGATCAGATGGAAATGTGGCCTAACCCCCCAACCCAAGGTCTGAGAGTGGCAGAAGCTAGTGTCACCTTTGAATACAAAACATGGCTACAGGCAAATTCAAGAGTGAGTGAGAATGTATTGCTTATATAATTTTAGGGCTTTTTTTTTTCTGAGGCGGAGTCTTGCTCTGTTACCCAGGTTGGAGTGCAGTGGCACAATCTCAGCTCACTGCACCCTCTGGGTCCCGGGTTCAAGCAATTCGTCTGCCTCAGCCTCCCAAATAGCTGGGATTACAGGCGCCTGCCTCCACACCCGGCTAATTTTTTGTATTTTTAGTTTCTTTTAACAAATGATTAATTATTAAAATACAAGATGATTTAAGGATTCTTGAAGGCATATAGACTCCCTTTCAAATGTAAACGAGTGGAGGAAAAACCGGAAGCCTGCAGTCCTCCTCCTTGGCTAACAAAGGGTGTTTATTAGCTAGGATGGCAATGAAAAATTTAATACAATGTAGTTTATAGCAGTGGACCGTGTCTTTGGCTCCTCATCTGGATGTGTAGCTCTGGCTTCTCATGGATAAGCTGTATAAAGCCTTATTAGATTCAAATACTGTCACTATGCCATATTAAAAAAAAAACATAGCTATGAACTGTATTTCTTATACAAGTGGGGTTAAATTAGTTGATTTAAAGATTTCCCTCTTTCCTACTGGTGCTAAAAAATTGTTAAACAAAATTAGGAATGTGCTAATTTAACAATTTACACTACAGGCCTGCTGCCTGGCAATGTGCTGTCAATTCAAGAAAAGAAAGCAAGCAAGCTACTTCATGATGAGAAATCAAACCTCACCCCCACTTCTCTCTCTTTTCTTCCTTTTTTTTTTTTTTTTCCTCTGAGCAATGGTCCCCAGGAAACAAACCCACAAACCGCTGTCAAGTTTGATTCCTCTTTCTGGAGTTACAGCCTTCCTGCTCCTCCGTGATGGCTCAGCTGACGCACCACCTCTGCTATTCATTTTCAAAATACATGTTGAGTCTTAGGACCAGGACCAGGAGGACGATTGAGATTTTTTTCCTGGTCATCTTTCTTTTCTTTTTCTTTCTTTTTTTTGGTGGTGGGTGGGGCCAAACTAAGAGGGAGACAGCAGGTCTGGGCCATCCCTCCTCTGACCCTCTGGGGCCATTTTCCTTCTGGCAATTCTCTTTCCCCATCTGTTTTCCTCTTGTTTTTGTTTTTTAAAAGAGAAGGGAAAACAATCAAAGAAAGGAAAAGAAATGAAACAAAACAAAATTACATGAAACATCTCTATGGCAAGGCCAGTACGGTAGAAAATTATGGTTAAAAAATTATAGGAGTGCATTGATTCATGTGAGCATTCCATGTTTCCACACAGGTCTCAAATTATGGAAGAAATACATTGTTTAGGCAATAGATGGTGGCATGAGAAGCTTCCTCTCTAATTTTTAAATTATACAAACTTTGCTTCTTCGTTTGGCAAAGGAGGGGCTCTGTTTTGGTTTTATTTGATCAGTAATTTTTCATTCCTTACACATTTCAGTAAATGTTCACTGATCTTCGCTTTGCTCCAGGTGCTGAGGAGGGAGCTCTGGGGGCAGCTGAGGGCTTAGGCATTCCTGGTGGGGCTGCCGGGCTCTTCCTCAGCCTGGGAAATGCTCCCATCACAGGACAGCACCCTGGCCCCTGAGATGGCTTCATCCTTTTGGAGAGGTACTTCTGCAGCTTCCTAGGGCCTTCAGCACATGTGTCTAGCTGGGTTGATTTAAGGGCTCTTTCCAGGGTGATCATCCCATGGAGTCCAATGAGCAAAACTAGAGGAGCTGGGGAGGTCCACATAGTGTGTTTTTAAATTTCTCCATCTTTATGATCCAGGCATAGTTATGAAGGTTGGACACTGAGGTGTTTTTTAAAATTGCTTATCGAAGTATAATTTGAACAGTGAAATTGTGCACAGATCTTAAACGGCATTTATAAGTTTTGACAAATGTACATACATGGCAATCTATTTTTATTTCATTATCCCAGAAGGTTCCTTCATGCCCTTTCCCAGTCAATACCTCCTCATCCCCAAGGGTACTTTTCCTCTCCCCATAGCTTAGTTCTGTCTGTTCTAGAATTTCCTGGAAATGGAATCACGCAGTATGAACTCTTTTGTGTTTGGGTTCTTTCTCACAACACGATGTTTTTGAGAGTCATCAGGTTGTTGCCTGTACCAGGTTAAATAGGATATCACTAACAGCGAGATAGTGTTAAGAAGGGACAATTTTTACCCCGTTGGCCTCCAGGCCAGATACTACCTAAATCCTGGTAAGTGGCCCTCCTCGCCCTTCCAAGTGAGTCTCTCTCCAGGGCCATGCAAGTTTCTCTCCCAGAACCGCTCAGGCGGCCTCGGGCACCACCCAGATGGCTGCGGGGCCATCACCAGGTCGCCTCCCCAGAACAGCTGCCCCCTGCTTCCCCCCAGTCCCATTAAAACTCAAAAGGGAACTCTGGCCCCTCTGCCGATCAGAATTCAGATTCGCTTAATTCCACGCATCCAACTGCACACAACCGTGGGATGTTTTGGTGATCACAGATATGCAGAGTCCTTTAAAAAACGTAAAAAGAAAAAAAAAAGGTGGGTAAAAACCGAGATCTCCAAGGCAGTGGATATCAGTCTCGGTTGAGCCAGGGATTCAGAATGAAATCTTTTCTTTTTTAAATAAACGGAAGAGTCGTTCTCTGCTCCTCTCTCAGAAGGTTTCAAAGGTCGTCACACTGAAGCCCGGGGGCGTTCATCTCCCCAGCGGCCGGGAGAAGGGAGGAGGTTGGAGGGAGGAGGGAGGGAGCACACAAAAGCGGGCCGTGCTGAGAGGGCTAATGTTTCCTGTTTGCCTGGAGCCCCCTCCCCTGCCTCCCCTCCCCCAGCCCCCTCCCAGCACTCGGGCGGAAGTGAGTTTGCTCCTTTGGAGATTAAAAGGATTCCGAATTCCGATCAGTCCCAATAACCGGCGTACTGAAGAGACGAGGAGGAGGAGGAGGAGGAGGAGGAGGAAGAGGCGGCAAAGCAGAGAAAGAGGGGGCGCGCGCGCGCGCACGCAACCCGAATTGGGGGAGTTGTGCAAAGCCCCAGGAGGCCGGGGCACGGCGAGAGCAAAGCCCGGTAGTCGCAGCGCGGCCGAGGCCACCCGCGTCCGGATCGGCGATTCGTTTCAGAAAGAAGATGACGCGGGCGCGAGCCGGCGGCGTTGGCCACGCGGCTCCCGAGCTCGCCGCGCGGGGCTGTTGCCGGTTCCACTGATTCCAGCGCGCCTGAGAGGAGCCTCCATCCCCGAGGCTCGGGATCGGAGGGGGGACCAAGGCGAGGGCGAAATGGCCCAATGACAAAGGAAATGTGATCCCCCTTCGCTGCCAAGGTTTCAGAGAGGACGGACGTGAGGAGGAGGAGGGGCGCAGGGCGCGCGCGGAGCTCGGATAGCATTGCACGACGGCCCGCGCGGAGCGGGTACATCTAATATCTTCCTGCCGATGAATAATTCAGGGCGGCCCGCGGGGACCTGCGGCCCCGCGCGCTAAGCCGAAGGGGAAGGAGCGTGCGGGAAGCGCCCAGGCCAGGCGAGGCGGGGGCACGAGGGCTCCGGGCCGCGTGGGGCGCGCGTGCGTGTTAAGCGCGGGCAGCCGCGGCCCGGCTGGGCAAGCGCGCGGGAGACTCGAGGCGCGTGGGACGCGCGTGCGTACTGCACGCGTGCGGCCGCGGCTGGGCCACCACGAGCTGCAGCTGCTGCGGGGCCCACCGCCCTGCAGACGAGGCCGCGCCTGGCGGTGCGCAAGCCCCAAGCGCAGCACGCCGGGCCACCCAGGAGCCCCTAGCCGCCGCGTCATGCGGCGGGGCGGCCGGCGTCGCGCGGGGAGACACCGGCTTGGCGACGCGCCGCTCCCGCCTTTACTAGTTTGGGGCGCCTTCCCCTCCCAAGAACAGACTAGATTCGTTTAAAGAAAAGCAACGCACCAAATACTCGTGGAACCAAATTCTGCTCTCGCCAGGACTGGGGCTGCACAGAGAACTCTCCTTTTGGGAACTCCTTTCGGCTATCGCGAAGCGAAGCCCCAGCTGCTCCAGGGAGTCTTCCGACCTCCCTGCCCCCGCTCGCCCCTCGCCTGTTGGGGCTTGTTCCGGTCTTCTCTCTTCGGAAGGCACGCGGCCCCCAAGTTATCCGGAGGAATCTGTGTTGCCGCTGGATAGTGGCATTTAATGCCTGCAGTGTCGGGGGTGGCAGCGCTCGGGCCGGACGTGGCGAAGCCAAGCGGGCAGCGCTGCTCTGGTGCCGGCTCCCGGATTGCAGGCCTAATCGATGCATTTTTCTGAGTGAGTCGGTGGCTCCCCCACCCACCTCGTCCGCTCTCTCCTCCTCCTCCTCCTCTTCCTCTCTGGTCTCCTCCCTCCTCCGGGCTGGGTTGCAAATGGCTTCGTTCCCCGAGACCGATTTCCAGATCTGCTTGCTGTGCAAGGAGATGTGCGGCTCGCCGGCGCCGCTCTCCTCCAACTCGTCCGCGTCGTCGTCCTCCTCGCAGACGTCCACGTCGTCGGGGGGCGGTGGCGGGGGCCCTGGGGCGGCGGCGCGCCGCCTACACGTCCTACCCTGCCTGCACGCCTTCTGCCGCCCCTGCCTCGAGGCGCACCGGCTGCCGGCGGCGAGCGGCGGCGCGCCTGGAGAGCCGCTCAAGCTGCGCTGCCCGGTGTGCGACCAGAAAGTAGTGCTAACAGAGGCGGCGGGCATGGACGCGCTGCCTTCGTCCGCCTTCCTGCTCAGCAACCTGCTTGACGCGGTGGTGGCTACTGCCGACGAGCCGCCGCCCAAGAACGGGCGCGCCGGCGCCCCGGCGGGCGCCGGCGGCCACAGCAACCACCGGCACCACGCTCACCACGCGCACCCGCGCGCGTCCGCCTCGGCACCGCCACTCCCGCAGGCACCGCAGCCGCCCGCGGCTTCCCGCTCGGCACCCGGCGGCCCGGCCGCTTCCCCGTCGGCGTTGCTGCTGCGCCGGCCTCACGGCTGCAGCTCGTGCGATGAGGGCAACGCAGCTTCCTCGCGCTGCCTCGACTGCCAGGAGCACCTGTGCGACAACTGCGTCCGAGCGCACCAGCGCGTGCGCCTCACCAAGGACCACTACATCGAGCGCGGCCCGCCGGGTCCCGGTGCCGCGGCAGCGGCGCAGCAGCTGGGGCTCGGGCCGCCCTTTCCTGGCCCACCCTTCTCCATCCTCTCAGTGTTTCCCGAGCGCCTCGGCTTCTGCCAGCACCACGACGACGAGGTGAGTGCATGGGGGCGTGTGTTTGTGTTCACCAGATAACTGCGTGTATGCTCAACAGTGGTCTCCCGGCCGGTCCCGTAGTGAGGGGGGGAGGCCCTCTCCGGATTTGCTTTGTATTTCCTTTAGCTACGTGGCAGTCCTCGCTACCAAAGTAGATCATGACCTGGGAAGTATGTGGAAGTGGATTCTGTGTAAGTGTCGCGAGGGGCCCCGAAATATCCCATAGCGTGGGATCCTCCCTTTTCCGATTTTAATTTGTGTGTGGCAAAACGCGGCAATCGTCTTCAGTTAGGCATGAGTTGGGAAGAGATAGGTGTGTTTGTAGACGTGGCCTCCTGGCGCGGGCGCGCCGGAGGCCTCCCAACGTGATGAGAAGGGTCTCCTTTATTTTCAGATTTTTGTTTGGAAAACTCATAGGTTGTTGCCTTTAAAATAGGGCGTGAGCCCGGAAGGGATGGTTGTGTGGTGGTTGTGTGGGTGAGTGCGTGGAGTTGGTGTGCCTCCGTAGACCTGGTTTCCACGTGCGCACTTGTGAGGGGAAGACTGGTTTTTTTGTTGTTGGGACAGCGTGGTAGTCCTTGCCTCCTTATGTTGGGTAAGAGTGGGAGAGTCTGTGGATCTTTGAGGGCCAAGGGCCCCTTAAGCCCTTCTCTCTCCGCGGCTGCTTCCTATATTGTTTGAAATGCGTGTTCTGGCCCCTGAACTCTCCTAGCGTGAAATCGCCGTTCGTAGGCCCACGGCTCCACCCCGAGATAGAAGCAGAATAAGGGGACGACGTTACCTTCACCCGCCTGAGTCTCTTGGGCCGCGCCCGCCTGCCCGGACTCCAAGCCCTACAGGAACCGGTTTCCCTGGTTAGGAGGTATCCACCCGGCTCAACCAGGGGCTCCACTTCCTTGAAAAAGACCAAGGCAGCCGTACGCTGCTGGAACGCCGGAGTGCGAAGGGTCTTAGGGCTACATCGCAACCCTCGGGCTTGATTTCGCCCTTTGGACTGTCGAGTAAACTTTTGCTTGTTTTTCACACAGTGTGAACCCTTTTTTGTTTCCTTTGGTATTACACGAGTATCTTCTGCTCCCCCGAACCCAATAAAGGCAGGCCAAAAGTCTTGAGAAGCGGGCTCTGCCGGAGGGGGTCAGTACCTTATGCGATCTACCTGTAGACCGGTGAGAAAGAGTGTGGGTGAAAGTCTTGATAGCGTAAGCTGGAGACTGCAGAGGCTTTAAAAACCATAGTGGGGGGTCATGGCCTGTGTGAGCTGGAGAGTGGGTACCGAGCACCGCAAAGGTGAGCCCAGCGCTGCTACCTTTTTCCACTCCTAACCTGCTATTTGGGGAGAAGGGCGGAGCCATTGCCTGATGGCCTTTAGCTGGCTTCTCCTGTTGGGAAAAAGTGGAAATTCTAATCTACTTGTTGTGGGTATCTCCATTTAAAGGGTTCCTTCTAGGTAAGAAGCTAGGGGGCAGTTTTCATTTTTAAACTTTGAATGGACTCCTAGTTTTAACATATTATGGGTTCATGTTCTTTAAGCACTTTTAGAAAAATGAATGATTGAGGGAAATGCCGATCCAAATCCCAGGACCGGGAGAATGGAGCCGGTTCACGTGCAGATTGGGATCAAATGCAGGGCGAGCAGAATGGGGTTGAATCCAGGAGTTTCCCTCCTGAGAGGTGCTTTTAGTTTAAACGTCAGTTTATATTTCCAGTTAAAGATCCACCTATATTTTTATTTAGACTGAAACAGTAGATGCTCAGTATTGGCAGACTTGTAAAAGATTGATTCACTTTTAAAATTAGAAAACCCTTCAAACTGCATTGGGGAGTGTGAATTGAGAAGTGAAGCGCTCCACTCACCCTGGGTGGGAGGTACTCGGAAGCTCTTCAGATTCACTTTTTAGCATGCGCGATGTCAGGCTGAAGTAACTAATACTTAACATAAAATGTGCTCAGTCTTGAGCAAGATTCTACTTACTCTTTTTAGCTTTTCATGAAAAACGTTTTGGAAATTAATTGTTTGGCCCTTTTATTCATTCCTGGATTTAGAACGCCAGAAATTTGAGATTAAAGGTGACAAACCAGTGTTCTGAGTAGAAGACAAGTGTTTAGGAGAGAAAGCACTGCCAGGTAGTGAGGTTCATAAACGGTTCCACCCACAGCTTAAATAATTCCTTTTCTTTGAAGGAAGTGATCACGTTAACAGTTTGAGAATATTGTTCCTTTAAAAAGACATCCCTCTGGCTGGGAAGGAGCTTTAGGACATTTACATTTGGAGGATGATAGACCCATATCTTGACTGTGGTATACTGAATGCCTAAATCCACTTATTTTAATGTGTATACTGTCTACCTCAATTTTTAAGACGAGCTCCTTAACTGAGTTACTTCCCTTGTCAACAGGCTCCGTTAAATAATTCAGAGCAGCACCTTTTCCTCATAGTGACTAAGGCCACCTGACCTTGGGAAGGAGGCCCAAACACCCTACCCCAGCCTGCAGGGTCTCTCGCCCAAGGGGACTTTCTTCCATAAGCGTCCCCTTGGAAATGTCTCCTTAGGATTGGCAAGTGAGGTGTCTTGTCTGAGCAATTGGCTTTAAGCCGTAGTGATGATAACCTGGAAATCTTTGGGTTTTTCAACGAAATAATGAGACTTGCTTGCTGCTACTCTCTTTGGCTTATTTCAACAGCACAGTTGGGGCTTTTCACTAGTTCTCTGCCTCCAGAGTCCGAAAGACCTGCAGGCTCCGTGGCCCAGCCAGCATCTGGCGGGGAATGCGAGGCCGCCGTCCCCGGAACAGCTGGCCTCGGGCCCGCTGCGTGCCGCGGGTCCCGGGAGAGGCGGGCGCAGGCAGAGTCGCCACGGGCCTGTGCCGCCGCCCGGCCAGCCCGGAGCCTGTCTCGGCTCTGGGGACGTGGCCTGGCCGGCGGCTGCTCTTCTCCCCGCAGGCACCCGCTGGGGTGTTCACGGCTGCTCTGGTCATGGAGAAGGGTCTTCGCTTGAGTTTTGGACGAAGAGTTTAACAACTAGGGAGTTGTGAGCACTGCTCCAGCTACTCACAAGTGGCCTTTTAGCATTGTTTTGCTTTTGGCACATGGGACATGAGCCCTTTGCAGCCTTGGAGGCGACACTGGGAGCAGAAATCCTGGGTGTGTTCTGTGCCTAAGCTGGGCGTCAGGATTCTGTGAATGGCGGGAAGTTGAGCAAGGTTTGAACCCAGGAAAGCCTCTGTCACTAGTGGTGAGGGGCAGTGGGGGTGACATTGTTGCCACCTGGAACACATTGTAGCCCCCTCCACCCGAGGATGGCAATATTGTTCCCAGTTAGGCGGGTCCGGGGGTGGAATTTTCTGGAGTCTCTGGCTGGAAAAAGGGGTACAGGTGTTGGTAGTATCCATGCGGTCCCTGCGTTGGGTTTTAAAATGCCACCTGAAGATAAAAGTTCTAGAATTCCAACCTGATTTGACCCTGAACATTGAGCACTCCCTGGGACTGTCTCCTGGCAGGAAACTTAAAGTGGCTTCAGACTCTTGGAACAAGGTTTGCTGCCTAAAATAATCGGTTGTTGTGTGAATTTCTGTTTCGTATATTGCGAGTCACCATAAATGGGACCATACCTGTATTCAGCACCAGTGTATATTATTCTCCGTTCTCAAAGTCTTAAGTTTTTTCGAGCCTGCATATACTCAGTGTATGCACGCTTATTTTTAAATTATATGCATGTTCTTGCGTAAATTATAAAATCCATACCAAAATATTTTTAAAAGCATAATACAAATTTCCCACTTATACTGTCCTCTCTTTTCCTTCTTTAGAAGTTATCAGATGTAACTAAGTTGGTGAAATTTATGATAAACGTTGAGAATTTCTAGCTGAAATTGGGATTTTAATTGGAATCTGATTGATTCATATTAATTTCAACAGCCTTTTTTTTTTTTTTTTAAAGTAAGGACAACAAGAGAAAGTGAACAGAAATGGGTATCTAGTATTTCTGTACCTGCTCTACACTACCGGGTGAATATGTCCTCTGAGTGCAGACATCTCACCTACTGGCTGGAAAACCAAACTTTATGTGCCTTGGAAATAGTTACAGAGGTTGCTGCTTTGAATCCAGTTCAGCAGGTAGACATATGGAAGCCTACTGATTTCAGAAAATGCTTGATAAAAATATATAGGAGGGAAATGTTCATTATTGATATGTTAATTGCTTAGCCTTTGTGGGCTTAAGCTATTTCCACTAAAGTGCATAGGAATGGATTTTTCAACATGGACCCTCAGGAAGTGGGGGCCATGGCTGGTTTGGCAAGCCTGTGCTGATGAGGTTGCTTTGAAGGCATAAGGTGTCATGAACTGTGCTAGTAATATGGAGGCTGTTGTAGTATCAGCACTGTCTGGGAAACCTTTTGTGATTATTTGTTCAGTTTCCTTCCTTTGAAAAGATAAACTGTAGTTATTTGGGGATTGCATAGATTTGATACAAGATTTTTATTTCCAATTCTAGGAATATACATTTTGGAAAACAAGATATTTGGGAACAAAACGGGTACTTTTTCTAGACTGCCAGGTCTTCATTTGACAATAATATTTGTTCTTTATCATTGACGTTGTTTCCTCTTTTTTTTTTTTTTTTTTGAGATGGAGTCTCACTCTGTCCCCCAGGCTGGAGTGCAGTGGCGCCATCTCGCCTCACTGCAAGCTCCGCCTCCCGGGTTCACGCCATTCTCCTGTCTCAGCCTCCCGAGTAGCTGGGAGTACAGGCGCCCGTCACCAGGCACGGCTAATTTTTTTGTATTTTTAGTAGAGACGGGGTTTCACCGAGTTAGCCAGGATGGTCTCCATCTCCTGACCTCGTGATCCGACCGCCTCAGCCTCCCAAAGTGCTGGGATTACAGGCGTGAGCCAGGCGCCCGGCCAACATTGTTTTCAAAGTGAAATAGGTGTACTTGAAATGGGGAAACCTTGCCATGTTGGCTAGGCTGGTCTAGAGCTCCTGACCTCAAGGTGCTCT